ATCATCCAGGGTGGCTGTGCCAACGTCGACCTCGGTTGCGGCCTCATCTGGCGCTACCTCATGCTACCTCATGAGGCTGGCGCCAGGGGTGTTGCTGATCGCACTGATCGTGTTGATCGTATTGGTAAGATGGTCTCGGAGCCGCTTCTCGGCGGAAGAAGAAGGAGTAGAGCTGGCCTGGGGCTTGGTATAAAGACACCAGCTGGGTCGCGTCAAATGCGGAAGGGGGATGATACGGGCAGTGTGCCTGCTATCATTGAAATTCTCGATGATGATGACAAGGATATCAAGGACGACGGGGATCTGCCCTTTCCCTTGAAGGCGACGGGGTCCCTGGTATCGGATATCGGTAAGAGGGCTCCAGGTGAAGCGACGGAAGCAACGGAAGCTGCAACAGCAGCACGAGAGGCAGGAAAGAAGGACGGTAGTACAAGTTACCTGCAACAAAGGCTACGGTTACGTGGAGGCTATACATAAAATTAAGAAATATGCAGGTGGTTGCGTGGGTGAAAACCACGTTGTGGGAATTCGCCGAGTATCGGACGGGTCTATTCTTTTCTTTTTTGCAGCAGGGAAAAGGAACCTGGCGGAGGAATTCGAGAGAAAGATCGAGATCCGGCTTGGCTTAGGATGGAAGGCCTGAATTAAGCGAAAATTTCTGCTCCTGGATGTCTCTGAAGTCGACCCTACGGTGGAGGCTGAAGAGGTTGTACATATTATTAGACGCGCGGTAGGTACCAGGGCTGACGATGACAAGGACGTCCGTTTCGTCTGCTCTGGCATGGATCGCGCTGGCAGGCTCCGGGTAAAGCTAGAATGCGCTGAAGAGCTGATGTAGCGGATTGCCGGGCTCGATAAGCTGCAGATTGGATGGAGTGCGGCGCGGGTACGGATTTGTGACGAGCCCACAAGGGAGGACAATACGGGATCCACGGCTTCCGCTGAAGAGAGCGCGGAGGCCCAATCGGATCGTGTGCGGAAATACCGACGATGCGGCGAAAAATCGGGCGGTGGTCGCGGTCGTTACCGTTGATAGCGCCGCTATTGATAGGGTACACTGTACTTTACTGTACTGTGTCGCGTGTGCATGATGTGTTATGCTATAATCTTGTAATCTTATCCTATCTTATCTTGTCTGTTTATTGCTATTTTATGTTACATAGTGTTATGTTATATTATATTATATTATTATATTATTTTATATTATACTATATCGTATTGGATCATATCATATTATATTATATCATTTTATCATAATACTACTATACTATTACTATTACTCGCGAACGAACCATTTTCAGCTTCGAAAGTCGTGCAGACATAGACAACGCCATATCGGAATTAGAGTCGTGGTATGAAGCCGCACGGGTGCCGAGAACATTGAAAAAGAGGAAATATGTATCCTGGTGGAACAGAGAGCTAACGAAACTCCGACTGTCCGCAGCACGATTTCGCGCAAAATGGCACCACGCGGTCTCGCGCACGACAAACGCCCTCGAGCACGAGCACCCCCTCCGCCAACGCATGCTAACCGATCGCCATGCTTTAATCAAAGCTATTCGTAAAAGCAAGAATACTTCATGGTCTGAAATGATTAATGAAGTAGCCCGGTATCCATGGAGCAAGCCTCAACCTGAGCCAGAGTAAGATAAAGAAGATTTTACCTAATACATTACACACAATCAAATTTCATTACTGTACATGCACGGAGCCATCACTTGAGGTAGAAATGAATCTACAAGACATAGAAGAGGGGCATTTCGTTGAATTGGATCTTGGGCTGGTGGAATATGCCATCCCACTACCGCGCCGTTATCACCAGATACAGGAGTACTTAAATATATTCCTCAGTTTAATTTGCAAAAAAAAAATGTAGGTTGAAGATAACAATAATTAAAACAGTTTTTCATAATAAAACGTAATCCACTAATTTTGTGTTTTAATACAACAATACTAAGGTATTTACTTTGAAAATAGCAAATGCGTTATTTTTCGCGTAACAGTATCTCTACCAGTTGAAAAATACTGTTTATTTTTAGACATATGTAAATATTATATTTAATTGCGAGTTCTGCAATTGTTTGATGTCTGATTGTCCGCACATTCTACCACTTAAAAGAGCATAGATCAGGTCGTACATATGATTGAGTTAGATAGATTGCAAATTTTAAATTTAGATTGTCATTTTCGTCAATTTCGTTGTTATACTCATCGGATGATTGTTGTTCTGTTCCGTTTAATGTTTACCGGGGCAAGACATTAATTAAATTTTTACTTTAACACCATTTCTATCCTTATATGCAACGGTTCATGTTCCAGATCCTTGTATCTGGGATTAAAGAAACAAAAAAAATATGATTCAACGGTATAATGCTGTTTTCATTTCAAAATGTTGTATAATTTCATAAATTATAGTTTGTTTAGATATATGAATAATTTCATAATTTTTTGGTAACTTCAACTGATGTTGGTGAGTGCTTTTCTCCAAAAAAGAGCGTTCTTATAATTTGGAGTAGTTTAAAAATATTTATCAGTGATAAATACTCTTTTCCTTCCACTGATTCTCCGTTATTTACTTTCCGCTGCCCTTAAATTTATTACATCTAGTGTGTACAAACGATCGAGTACAAGAAAAGTGCAGTTCCATCAGTTGATACAAGATTATAGTAGCGTCATTTTTATCACTGTTGTTTTAACTTGGATCCTGTTGCGTCCTATGACACTATGTGAAATGTTTTAAATCACTAGATATTTTACTGTACTGACGAATTAGATGTCCTACATTCTCTTCCATGATCTTATTTAGTGTAAGCTACATGGTATAAGCTACACATGTCATGTTTTAAATTTTTGTTCCTTCGCTTATTAAGAAGATTGCACATAAGTTCGTGCTGAAGAACCGTAATCATCCTTTCATTCTGCAATTTCTTCCCACTTATTTGGTAGAGCCACTGTTTCAACGTGGTAAAATTTCTCTGACTTTTCTTCAACACAATTTTATAAGCTAATTTAGAGGATGCCAGTATATTCAAACTTTTTACTTATTAAAAAGTGTCGTAGTGCACAAAACAAATGACAGTCTGATGGGGCAATGTCCAAAGAATACGAAGGGCGTGGTAAAATTTAACAACCCAATTCATGGTTTTCTTTTTCTATTATCCTCGCCACCTTGCTTCTATTTACTAAATCCAGGCGTGTTTTGATACTTGCTTGTTTGAATCCTTGTAATTGGGTGAAAGATTTATGCGAATTAATGGTATCACCGTTCGGAAAAAGTTCAAAGTAAAATTTCCTTTATAATCTCACCATACACAGAGAAGAACTTTACGATCGTGTAAATCTGGTTTCTAACATCGTTGAAGTGATTGGTTTCGTTGGGACCAGCTTTGCTTCCTTTTTCGTACCCAATTACTAGTTATTTAAGTATTGGTTCATATTTGTTGCGTGCAAGTAAGGACATGCATACTGCTCAAGACGGTTCCATTCCGGAAATTCGTGAGCCACCCAAACGTCTAATTTTTAAATGTCAATGGACTGCTGTCTTAGGTGTTTCTAAAATTTGTTTGCATATTCTTAACTCTGTCTTCGCTTGATTGAGAAGCGTGTCCGGAACGTTTCTTGTCTTCTAAACAAAAATCATCTTCTCTAAAGCGTTTGAATTACATACTTATTACACGTTACGAGACGAAAGAGCACTTTCTCCGCAAACAACACATATGTTATTTGTGGCAGCTGTTATTATTTCACGACTTTATGGCTATGAATGTCTCTTTTAAACTGTTACCAAACACCTAAATTGAAGTGTATTGGTCTCTTATCGCTCTGTATTCATAAATCTGGGCACGGAATAGGATGATCCAATATTTCGAGCACCATGTGTAACCACAGTAACAATTATGTCAATTATTTTCCCCTCCATATACAGCGTATTTCGCAATTTATTTAACGAGATTTCCCGAAGGATGAAGTCCTTCCATTTTAAGTGCAGTTAGTCTGTAATGTATGTATCTTACGATAAAATAATTTATCGTAATGTATATGTCTTAGGTAGAAAAAACTAGCAATCTGTCGTACATGCTATCTGTTCAGCAGATTTCAGGTATTTCTTGATGTTTCCGTCAACGGTGGTCTTCAAAACAATAATTTCCTTTTGGTTATTTGTACTATAGAAATTTTATAATTAGATTTAGGAACATTCATAAAATTTTTTAAAACCGAGACTTGAATGGAAGAAGCTGATTTAATGCTATTAACGTAGCAAATGCTTCGTTTTGTCTCCTTGGTTCTCCTGAAGTTTTCGCACTCGTATTTTTATGATTTTCTTCTACATTCGTTGTCATGCCACATTTCACTGCTAGTTGTGAATTACAAGTGTAGTTCTCGATCATTTGTGAACTTCAGGTCATGTATTACTTGTACATGTCTATATAATAACCAGTTGTTCCAATAGCATATTTTTCCTCAATATCAGTTATGTACTTCCACACCCGAGTTTTCGGTTTTTACATTTGAACTATCTTTTAAAACCATGGCTAATTAATGGTAGAACTGCACTAACCAGTCAGAACTGAATTCACTACTTGAACATTGAAAAGCAAACCAATATAAAAATAAAAGAGTCACGCCAACAACATATCAAACATATAATAAACGTAGTTATTGTCAACTGTTACTACCATTAACCCTTTGACTGCTATGGGCGCATATATGCGTCCAGCGAAGGCTATCAGTGTGGCCTATGGACGCATATATGCGCCCGGCGAAAGCTATCAGTGTGGCTTATGGACGCATATATGCGCCCGGCGAATGCTTTGGTCGTTTACTATTGTTTCATGTGTATTTTCGGTAATTGTTGCTATCGTATGTGTTCAACACTCGCAGAAACCACGTACCTCACTGCTTAGCAACGAGAACAAACAAAATCTTGTTTGTTTCGTCAGTTAGTCTCTTAAACTCGTTTCATTTGTAGCCATACAGTTGTGATTGTTAGTACCTTCAAAATGTGTAGCAGTTTCAGAGAATTCGTTACACAAGAGGACAGTGACTTGGATGAAACGTTAGATTTCAGTGAAGATTATAATGGTGGAATACAAGAAACACACCAATATGTTCCACCATTATCTGATTCGGAAGATATAGAAAATAGCGTCAATAATGGGATTGTTAGGTGTAGAAGGGAAAATAAACGGCCAAAAATACTTAGTACTTCTACAGATGAGGAGGATTTAAATTCAAATTCAAATTTAGAGAACTTCGATTCGGATAAAATGCTTTCAACGTTGTTATGGTCGAAGAACAATTTCAAACCCATAATACATGTATTTAACGATCAAAATTCTGGAGTGAAAGGAAATTTAGCTCCGGAATCCACACCTTTAGATGCTTTCCAACTTTTCTTTTCCGAAGAGTTAGTTTCTCATATTACAAAGGAGACAAACAATTATTGTACATTTGTGATCGAAAATACTACACCTAAAACGCATTCTCGTATTAATTCTTGGAAAGACACATCAATATGTGAGATGTATGGATTTTTGGCCATCATGATGTTAATGCCGCGGGTGAAGAAATTGACTCTAAATGAGTATTGGTCGACTGATCAGATGATAGAAACCAACATTTTTCGAAAAATTATGGGACGAGACAGATACATGGTATTATTGCAAATGTTACATTTTAATAATAATAATGTAAGAAGTGATGATCCACTAATAAAAATACGACCCATACATGATGCACTTAAGAACTCTTTCTCACAATCATTTTACCCGTACGAAAATTTGTGCATTGACGAAAGTCTTATGTTGTTCAAAGGCCGATGTTACTTTAAACAATTTATTCCTTGCAAAAGAAGCAGATTTGGTATTAAATCATTTATACTCTGTGATTGCACAACTAACTATGTGCTAGATTTTATAATATATACCGGAAAAGATACAGATATTGTACGTAATTTTACAACCATTGGACAATCGGCAAATGTTGTCATGACACTTTTACGTCCATATCTTGGGAAAGGTCATACAGTGATAACAGACAATTGGTACACAAGTCCACATTTATATAATTTGCTACATAAACATAAAACAAATGCGTATGAAACAGTACGGAAAAATAGAAGAGATATGCCCCATATGGAGGGAAATATGAGGAAAGGAAAATTTGACTACCGGTGTACAGATAATTTATTGGCATTGAAATGGCGAGATAAAAAAGATGTGTGGATGTTATCGAGTGTTCACGAACCTAAAATGATAGAATCTGGTCGAAGATATTATCTTACAGGATCGCAGAAGTTAAAACCAGAATGTGTTGCAGATTACAACATCAAGATGGGTTCTGTGGATCGTGTTGATATGGTTTTAAGCACACTTGATTCATCCAGAAAATGTCTAAAGTGGTATAAAAAGTTCTTTTTCCATTTATTAGACATCTCATTATGTAACTCCTATATTCTATATCAAAGTGTTACCGGTAAAAAACTAAAATATAACGATTTCCACCTGAGATTAATAAAACAAATTCTGCAAAAATATCCGCAAAATAGGAATCAAGCGGGTGGTGGGAAAAGAAACATAGAAAACTTACCATTCCGTCTGACGGATAGACATTTCCCTTCGAAAATTTTAAAAGCAGGAGGCAATTTGACAAGAAGAAAATGTGTTGTCTGCAGGAATCACAAAAAAAGGAGGGATACACCATACGAATGTAAAAAATGCGACATCGGATTATGTGTTGATACTTGTTTTGAGATTTACCATACGCAATTGAACTATTAATTTTCCTATTGTTCTTCTTTCTTAAAATATATGTATTCGAAATTTATAGTTTTTGTACAAAGTATTTATGTTACGGTTATTATATGTAAGTAATATTTATATAATCGTTCCTATGATTTGTTTAATTTTTCAAATTTGAATATCCATATACATTATAATTATCAAATTACGGCGTTTTAAAACGTTAATATTGGTAAATACACAGTGTAAATTGAAAATAAAAAATGTCTGGATTCGCTTTGGAGTAGACAAAGTAATAGTAATTGGATTGTGTACTATATCATAATGTGTTAGTACGCCGCCGACGAGATCCATACTACGCGAAAAAGTATTCAATCCCCAGCGATTGCATCCGCGAGCCGCATGCCGCTCACGCGAAGCGCTTCAAGTTAGAACAGCTAGCAGTCAAAGGGTTAATAAATGACCAATATAATGAAAACAGCACTACATTTTTGTATTAGTGATTTATCATTTTATGAATAAACCTTGATCTAAGATATGATGATTTGAAGCACGAGCCTTCGCATATAAACCATAAAATTTATCTTAACACATTCGTATCGGGCTATTTTTCACAAAGAATTTATCAAGAAAGCGTACACGTGTCGCAAAACGAGAATTCCCGTTTGCCGGCGACAACATTTATTTTTTAAAAACGAGAACTCTTGTTTCCCGATGCTAATGCGTTAAGATGAAGTGATTATCCCCACGTATATTGAACAGACACAACAAAAGTCATCCCACAAAACCGCTCTGCGATTATTACAGATCGATAAAATAATGTATATACAAGTTTTGCTAAGTTATAATAATTAAATTGGATCTTTCTCAATGATAAAAGATGCTGGCAATAATTTTCATGATACCGGTTATCATTAGTACTAAGAATCTTCTTCAGTAAAAGCATGTTCTTTCTTAGAAATTACAGACATTTTAGTATTCTTGTATTGAAACAGAAAATTAATTGAATAAATTTAAATCGGAAGGGTGTTATCTTTCATCAGGACAACGTCAGACCTCACACCTCCTTGCAAACTCGTCAGAAATTGGTGCAATTTGGTTGGAATGTCCTACTTCACCTCGGTGGCGCCCAAAATCCCGACAGCCAAAATCCCGACAGCCCAAAATCCCGACAGCCAAAATCCCGACTACCAAAATTCCGACAGCTAAAACTCTATGTTCTTGGTTAGGTTAGGTTAGTTTTGTTGTTTGGCGCGGTTGAGTTAGTTTTGTGTATTTAGGTTGTGTCGGTTTGATTTTGTGGTTCTCTGCACACGTGAGGTTAATTTTGTGTACATTTTATTAGATGAGGTTAGTACCGTGTATATCTGTGTGGTTAGGTTATGTCGGATTCGGTTGGTTTTGAGTGACTTTCATAAGTTTATTTTCGGTTAGGTTAGATTTGAGTATTTTTCATAAGTTTAGAGTAGTTTTGTGTATCTATTGCCACACTGGTGTAGTACGAAGTATTTTGGTCAAGTTAGGTTAGGTTAGTTTTGTGGATTTACTATTTGGATTTATTATTAAGTTAGGTTAGGTTAGTTCTGTGTTCTCCCTGTGGCTGGGGATCAGAATACAGCCAAGGTAACCCCTGCCTGTCGTAAGAGGCGACTAAAAGGGGGGCGCTCGCTGCCACTGGACCGCCTCAATGAGGACCGGGGGCGATACCGGCGGGGTGCCTGGGCCTCGGTCCTTGGACTCTGGCAGGTACTACCATGCCGGTAAGGCCTTGGGCTGAGAGGCTACGAAGGTAGTAGCGACGTCACGGTATACCGTAACTCAATGGTCATGTTTCGCTGGAACGGGGGGCTTGCCTTCATTGGTCGGCCCGCGAGGATAACCTCTATAAAAAATCCCTAGCCCCAAGCTGCGGTACGCGGTGAGGAGGGTGCCCCTGGAGTTAGCGCCAGGGGCGGCTGGTGGGTGCATCAGTCGCTAGCGATCAACCCCGGGGTACTTGGCGACCCCCGGGTGTATCAGCCTTGCCCGGATAAGGCGGCTCTACCCGGGTGGACGTGCGGACCGACCCTCTCGTCGGATCAGCATGGAAGAAGACACAACAAAAAACACAACCGGACGGGAAGACACGTCAACGACTACGGCAACGCAAGAGGAGGAGATACGGACAACGAGGGATGAAGCGGCGGAATAACCGGGGCCCAGCAGGCCCACGGTCTCCGCACGCAGCAGGAGGGCGCGACTCATGTCCGCCGGGTGGGCGACAGTGACGAGGAGTCGGATGGCTCCGTTTTCTCACTGCCGCCCATGACTCCCTCCACGGAGACGGCGGCGAGGCGAGGACGTCCCCCAACATCAGGGGACTACGTGAAGCTGGCGGAGAGGAAGGCCAAATATCTCCAGCTTCAGAAGGAAGAACTGGAGCTGCTCGCAACGAGGGAGCTCCTGGATGACGACTCGGCTCCCCGCCAACTGAGTCGAGCAGCGAAGAGGCTCAGGGAGACGGAGGAGATTTCCAGGGAGATAAGACACCAGCCCTCCTCCGACCTGGTAGCGCGTGCGCTTAAATGCACGGAAAAAGTGGAGAATGTTGCCGGGGTCTCCAAAAACCTGAAGGGCACCTTCGTACGCGCGCTGAGGGAGGCTTCCCGCGACCTCGGGGTCGTCGTGGGCGAGCTGGGTCTTAGTACTCAGCGCGAACGCGATGACCGAGAGGCGGAGCTCCGAGCCCGAGACGAGAAAATCTCGTCCCAGGGGGAGGAGCTGGCGGCCCTTCGGGAAGAATTGGAGGCCCTGCTGTCCAGGATGGCTGCAATGGAGGCCTCATCAGCAAGAAAGAAGTCGAGATCGGGGTCTCCTCGCTCCGAAGAGGAAACCCGCCCGAATAGGGCGCGCAGGGTGAGTTCACCTGTGCTCCTGGAGGAGTCACCCAGGCGACCATTGGTGGAAGTGACACCGGGGCCCGCCCTGGCGTGTCCACCATCGCCACCAGGGGCGGTAGGTGGGCGGGTCGGGGATGGCCCCGCCGTGCGCGAGGCCCCCGCGGCGCCCGCAAGGGCCGGTTCCACCGAGGCGGCCGCGCTCATGGAGGGCATCGCAGCCCTCGTCACACGGAGCATGGCCGACCTCAGGAGGCAATTTGTTGGGGAGCTAGCCCGGCTCCGCCCTCCGGCGGGCGGTGCCGGGGCTCCCCCTCCCTCCGCACCCGCGAAGGGGGAGAAGGGGGCTGCGAAGAGCCAGCCCCAACCCCAGAAGAAGGGCCCGGAGCATAAGAGACTCACTTCATGTGAAGCTACCGAAGCGAACAGTGTACTATATGCGAACGGTGTGATAAAATAAAAGTGATATACAAAGACATAGAAGCAGACTATTAATTCCAATTCCAATAGCCGAAATCCATCAAAGGGATAGCACATAGTAGTCGACAATTTTTTTACAAGCATTACATTAGCAAGATCTCTGTTTGAGAAACACATATTTTTAACCGGTTCAATACACAGCAACAGAAAATATATTCCACCGTATCTCAAACAGAAATTACAAGTGGGCGAATATAAGTATTTCCGAAATCGGGAAATATTATTATTAGCATACAGAGAGAAAAAATCACAGTAAAAGAATGTGTAACTATTATCAACACATGGAGTAGCCGCAAATAAAACAACTGTAATCGAAGACGGAATCAACAGAGAGAAGTTGAAAAACCAGTAATCGTAGATGATCTAAGCGACGCTGATGTCGCTTCTCTACATGCATAGCTTGTATCACTGATTTTAAGATACACAACTAAAGATATCGTGACGTCATGTTCCCGCGAAATTTGTCGCCGCGTTTTTCAATTGTTTCAAAATTTAAAGAGACTACAGATTAACGGTCATTAAAGCGACAGCGTGGGCAGTGACACTGATACTGAGTTTTCAATTATATTGTATATCATTGTTACTATTATTATTGTTATTATTATTGTTATTATTATTCTTATTATTACTATTCCTGCTATTGTTATTTTTTAAAAAGATATTTTATGAGGTTTTTTAAAAGTTTTCTCTAGCTTTTTTCAGATTCTTCCAATATTTATACTTATAGAGATGCCGCAACAGCAGAAGAAGATAGAAATTAAGTAAGTACAGAATTTTTTAAAATTGTTATCGAAAACAATAACTGTTTATACATTGGTGTTTTAATATTGTTTGCTTTAATTTAAGCAGTTTCTTTTTAACGTAACGTTTCTAAGATAAGATTGTAATTATCAAAATGTATCTTTAAAGAATCAGCAAGAAAAAATGCAGTGTGGGAGGATGCGGGAATCAAGATACAAGGATGTTTACCTTGCACGGGGAAACTCCCGAAAGGTCCCCCCACCCTAGGACAACCAAACTTCGGCTTTATAGTAATTGTGGGACGAGAAATCGAATGAGACCATTTTCAGAACTGGCAAATAAACCGTTCTCGAGATATATAGGGTATCCTAAAAGTTAATACAAGATAATACTTTACGACCCCTACAACTTTTGTTTTAGTCATTTTCCGTGTAAATGCGTTCTTATCGAGATAGTAGGGGGGTACCACACTTTTAGAATACCCTGTATATCTCGAGAACGGTTTATTTGCCAGTTCTGAAAATGGTCTCATTCGATTTCTCGTCCCTCAATTACTATAAATCCGAAGTTTGGTTGTCCTGGGGCGGGGGGGGGGGGGGGGGGGGGGGGGCGGCTTCCGGAAGTATACCCCCTTGCCCCCTGAAGAAAAGGACCAGGAGAGAATGATCCAGTGGGTGAAAGCATGTGACAACCCAATTCTGTCACTGCTTCCACCCGAAGAACTAAAATACCGGGTAGTCTGTAGCAGCCACTCCGAGAAAAAATACATTATGGTGAAGAAGGTGACAACGTCAGCAGTTCCAACACTGAACTTACCAGGTAATATTCTTACATAATTTGTACAGCGTATGTAGATAATTGTTAATGAAAATATGTATTACACAGTGTCAGAGGCTGCCTCTATTAAAATAGAGCAAGACACCCGGATGGAAATAACAGAAGAAGAAGGAGAACCTACTGTGCGTTCACCACAAGTTGGCGAGGCAGATTGTTTACTTTCTCACTCTGTTCCACCTCTCCTGCTCCCATGCGCTATGTCGTTATTGGTGTTACGACCAGCCGCCCAAACGTACGTTAATCGAATTCTTCCCACGATCGGACAAACATCGTGTTACGGCCACCCGCCTAAACGATCGATATTCGAACAATTGAACTCTTCACGACCGGACACCTAAACATCATATTACGACTACCTACTAAAGTATTCGATAAGACGCGTTCTCACGGACATCCCACCTTGTCAATCATCGGCCCCTTCTCCACCACCAACGACATTATAAAAGACCTTACCGGACATAAGCAGAGTCAGTCGGGATCATATTATAAAAATAAAGTGCTAACCCTTTAAAAGTGCTATTCATTTAAAAACCTGTGAACTTTCTACGTGACATTTTGGCGATCCTGCCAGGATCCATTCAACATCACGAAGAGAAACTTCCAAAGGGGGCTTTCTACGGAACTCCGGACGAAGGGACTACGAGTGCCACTCTGTCGTGATACGTAGGGATCCAACGAACCTAAGGTAAAAGCTGGCGTTTGAACATTACCGATTAAAACCACCCAGCATTTCTTTTCAAAACTCCGACCTATCCTCCTTATCTTCTGAGTCCTCAATATCTTCAACAATGACTGCCTCCGGACCTGCCGCACAAGGGAACGTGCTACGGCAACTCTTGGACAGGATGCAACGGATGGAAGAAGGAATCAATTAACAATTGACAACTCTAGGAGAAGAAAACCAAAATCGTGCAAAAGAAATCCAAAATATTGCAGAATAGCTGAAACTGGTCACCCTCACTGAAGACGCGTCTACTACTTCGAGGACCACCAGACGAAGCGGTGGAGATCAAGATAATCAACAAGAAGATGAAATGCATATGGCCCGACAACCACCCCAAAATTCAACAATCAAGCCAAACGAACTGATGAAAGCAGTTGACGCCATTCGAACCATTGAGACCTTACGAGGACGAGATGATGTAGGAGTTGAAGATTTTATCAAATCAGTCAGGTATGCCAGGAGTAATTGTTCTGAGAAAACATTATTACTAAAATTAATTCTGATCGAAAAAATTACGGAAAATGCAAAAAGAAGTATTCGATACACGTCAATTGAAACGTATGAAGAACTTTACGAAGTACTCCGTCAAAACGTTTCAATACCTAATACTATTAGTAGTTGCCGTAATAAGTTACAGCAAATACGGCAAGGAGCAACGGAAACAGTACAGTCTTATAACCTACGATTTAGACAACAACTCAACAAATTAATTTACGCCGTTCAAAATAAACACCAAAATCCAATTTCAAGAAGAATAGCTATAGAAGAAGAAGAAACAGAAGCTACTCGAACGTGTGTACTCAATCTCCGCAGGGACATAGGCATGCTCGTAATACCAAGTAAACCGAAATTATTAATAGAGGCACAAACAATGGCAGCCGACATGGAACTGTGGACTCGCGACGCGAATCGTGCCATGGAGCGTCGACAAGTACCATCCAGAATTCCTCCGCCTAAACAACAGAGGCAACGCCCAAATACATCAAGTGACCGACCAAACCACTCGATACCTTTGAAATATACAAAGTGCAGAAGATTAGGACACACCAGTGACAAGTGCTACGCTCGAAATTTTCAAGTAGCCAACCAGGGAAAAATTCCACCACCAAGAGTGAACAACCTCAATTTTCAAGAGAACAAAGTGACAGAAACAACATCCGAATCAACTGCACCACCGGAAAATTACTACAAATTTGCTGCAGAGTTCCAGGAATGTCGAGAATCGGAAGACTACTCGTGGACACAGGAGCAGGAATCAACATCCTCAAGCGATCAGTAGCCGAATGAATAGAGCCGACAGAAACCAAAACATTCTTTATGGGTAACGACAAACATACTACTCACGAGACGACTATAATTCAGATACAACAAATACCTCATACCTTTCACATAGTCCCTGATTCATTTCCTTTAATAAAAGACGGCATAATGGGCCTACCATTCTTAGAAAAATATAAATACGAAATCAATAACGAATCATTAAAAATTAACGACAAAATTATACCATTTCAGAAAACTACTCTTCACACACTGTCTCCGGGAAAAACAACAAAACGAACACAATATCTACACGGAAAACCTGTTCAAATATGCTACATCAACACTAGTAAGCAAGACCATCAGATTACAAACGAAATAGAACCAGATGATAAAATCGATCAAATGAACAAATTTCCAAAAATTATTAGAACTAAACATATTGATCCAAGTTTACGAGACCCTTTAGAGAAAATCCTTATCAACTATCTTGACATTTTTAATTTAGAAACTGACTTACTTCCTTGTACATCCCTTACGGAACACACTATTACGTTAAAATTTGAAAAACCTATTAATATTGGAAGTTATAGACCACCTGAATGCCATAAGCAAGAAATCGAACCATCAGACTTTCCTTATAACGCGCTGGTTTGGGTAGTTCCGAAGAAATTGGATGCTTCAGGTAAACGTAAATGGAGAATAGTAATCGACTTCCGTAAACTCAATGAATTCACTCATTAAATTCTGGACCACCTAGGCAAAGCGAAATTTTTAGCGCGTTAAATCTTTCTTCAGGATTTCATCAGATCCCTATGAATAACAATTCTAAAAAATATACAGCCTTTTCTACACCACAAGGACATTTCCATTACAATAGAATGCCATTTGGTCTCAAAAATGCTCCAGCAACGTTTCAAAGAATGATGGACACGGCGCTTCGCGGTTTAATAGGAAAACATTGTTTTGTTTACTTAGACGATATTATCATCTTCGGGTCGAAGATACAAGAACATAATCAAAATTTAGCAATCGTATTCCAAAGGCTTAGAGATCTTAAACTTAAAATCCAACCCGACAAATGTGAATTCCTCAAACCGGAACTAGAATATTTAGGTCATGTAGTAACTGCGGAAGGAGTTAAACCAAATCCAAAAAAACTAGAAGCAATAAAAGACTTTAAACAACCTAAAGATTCTACAAATATAAAATCTTTTCTTGGACTAGCCGGATACTATAGAAAATTTATCCGTAACTTTTCAAAAATTGCAAAACCACTAACAGACTTAGTAAAAAAAGATGTCCCATTCCATTGGACAGACAAACAACAACTCGCTTTTGACACACTAAAACAAAAACTTTGCGAAGCACCAGTACTACAATACCCCGATTTTAATAAAACATTCACCCTAACAACAGACGCGTCAAATGAAGGATTAGGAGCAATTCTCTCTCAAGATGGTCATCCTTGTTGTTACATCTCCAGAACACTAAAACCTCCTGAAAAGAATTACAGTACAAGCGAGAAAGAGCTACTCGCAATAGTTTGGGCCACCAAAAGATTTAGACAATACCTATTAAGAAGAAAATTCATAATTCAGACTGATGGTTAAAGGATGTAAAAGATCCCTCTTCTAGACTCATGAGATGGTGATTGAGACTCGAAGAGTATGATTATGACATAGAATATAAAAAAGGTAAAAAAAATACCGCCGCAGACGCTCTTTCACGGCTGTACCCTATCACCTCACAAGAATCCAACCTTCCTATATCATCTCCAGAAGAAACGGAAGAAATCCCAACTGAATTTTCCCCAAATCCTGACTATTTTAACGAATATGAAAATTGGAAAATAGACATAACACCTGCACCATTAACACAAAAAATTAATCGACCACACTTCTACCAACTAACAAAGAAATTACTAGGTGACTACGACGAACAAACATGGATAAATAAATTAGCTGAACTAATTAACGACAATAGACATAAAATTACTTTCCCAATAGGAATAGGAGACCAGAAAATAACACCACTAGAAAAGGTTTACATTCAAATGATGATACGATTTCTTAGTACAAAATTTAGAAACATAAAAATTATATTCGGTTCAGAACCTCCGCGGGATTACACCCTGGAAGAAAAAGAAACAATCCTGAAGGAAAATCATAATGAAATAGTAGGACACTTAGGTATTAATCATACTGTAAAACGAATTCATCAATTAACAAAATACCTTGTCCTCGTTCCCCTCAAAAATCAGCAAGCCACTACAATTATCCCAGAATTATTGGATCATCATGTATACATATTTTCTGCACCTAGACAAATTATAACTGATCAAGGAACAAATTTTGTTTGTAAGCTTATGGAAACGTTTGAACAGGCATTTAAAATCCAACATGTTAAAACGACCTCCTTCCATTCACAATCTAACGGTTCACTTGAAAGAACACACGCAACGATAAAAGATTTAATTCGTACATGTACAGCCGAAAGACAAAACAATTGGGACGAAAATCTTAAACTTATTTGTATGGGTTATAATACTTCAGTTCACGAATCGACAGGTTATACACCTTTTGAACTAACATTCGGACACAAAGCTAATCTACCCTCAACAATTTCTGCAACTCCTTCGATGTCAAAAGAACAGTTATTTAAACTTTGGAAGAGACGACACGACACGTACATTTCTGAGGCAATAAAAACACTGAATAAAAACAAAGCTCGCTATAAACGGGATCAAGACAGAAAAATTATAAAATTACAGACTATATTCAAAATAGGTGATCGAGTTCTTCTACATAACGATCATAAACGAAATAAACTCGATCATGAATGGTTAGGACCTGCAGAAATAATACAGGCCTCTCCTCCAACGTATACTATTCATTTTCCGTCGGAGAATCGACAATTAAAGGTACATGGTAATCGATTAAAACTTTTTATTTCAGGCCGACGACCCTTACCCTCTTGTTCTACTTCATTGGAATAATCTACTGTAAATTACATACTGAACACATCGACAATTGTTACTTATATACTAATCAAGTATCTATATCTATTATTATTAATTCACACTACCTACTAAAACAACCCGAAGTTATTGCAGAATCGTTAGAAGGTCTATCAAAATATTGTAATAAATGCGCGTACAAAATAGAAATTCAAAACTTAGTAAAGGAACTCGTAACAATAAAAAAAATGATTGCTCAATTGAAATTAACGTTAAGAATTATTCATAGACGTGGTTTATTAAATATAGTTGGTTCAGCATCCAAATCTCTTTTCGGTACTCTAGATGAAAACGACTTAACGATAATTAACGAAAACATGGACAAACTATTTGACTTGAATAACAAATTAAAAATCATTGTTTCTAATCAATCAGCCCTTATTAAACAAGTATTAGACGATTCTCATATTCAATCTATCCATCAAATTCAAATAAAACTTGACGAACTCCAAGACAATGTACAAAACGAAGAAATAATCAGCTCTTTAATTATACACACAGAATTTGTCCTTTCCGAACTACATGTAAATCTCGATGAACTAATCAGCACGATTATACTAGGTAAACAAGGAATAATCAATCCACAGGTTGTAAAGCCACAACAATTTTTGGAAACATTTGATAAAATCATTAAAACCCACTTTCTTTATAATCATATTCAACCGACTCTCGAAAATTTTCAAACCGTACTTGATATTAGTAATTTAAAACTTTGGATCAACAATGGAAAAATTGTATATATAATAATAACTCCTATTTTGGATGATACAGAGTGGAAAGTCACTAAAATTTATCCAATTCCCTCAAAAAGAGACAAAATTTTTGTGGCTCCAGTAATCGAACATGAAATTATATTTACTACGCAAGAACAATATATTCCTACTGACTATAGATATATTCAAAAATTCTGTAAAAGGACGCCTTTAATTCATCTTCGTAAACTTAATCAACCCACGCATAGTAAATTAGGAACACAAGATTGTCAAATTGAGCTAGTTAACAACAAAAACAAAATTAACACGTGCCCATTCTCCGTATTCAAAATTATAGACGCTACTTTTATACCTCTTGAACAACCAAATGTGTATATATTAATACCAGATAAACCATTAACACTAGACATTCTCTGTGATAGACATGAAACACGAACTATACAAACCCCTAGTTTAATTAAAAGCGATGAACCTTGTACAATAACCTATGAAAACAATGTAATGAAAATTGGAGGCACCACCCAAGAAGTTACTTATGAAACTAAATTCAAAGAGTTCTCTTTCAACATTTCACAAAGTGATCTAAGACTATTAGAAAAAAACATTGATTTTACTCCAAAGGTTACTCCAAATTTCAACCAATACCGAACAACTTTAGGACAAATCAACAACCAAATAGATCAAATTCAAATCGAACACCGAATCAAAAACCTAAAAGAAATAGCATACTCTGTATTACAAATTATGGGATACATATCTATAGCCGTAATCACAATTTACACACTATACAAATGTAAACTACTTTCTCGATGTATACCATCCACATTTATCTTTAATATCTGTTGTCCCACTGCGACTGCAAATCAAGAACAACAAAATACTACACTCCCACCAACAACATCAGCGCCAATCTACGACGAACGTACCAGCTCATCAACCAAAGATTTGCTACCTGCAATAGAAGAAAACATCGTTCATATTCAACCAGCCCGGAAAATTGTACGTTTTGTGAGACCAAAACAAGTCTAAGGAGGAGGGAGTGTTACGACCAGCCGCCTAAACGTACGTTAATCGAATTCTTCCCACGATCGGACAAACATCGTGTTACGGCCACCCGCCTAAATGATCGATATTCGAACAATTGAACTCCTCACGACCGGACACCTAAACATCATATTACGACCACCTACTTAAGGGCACAGACTCCTTCGAGGCCTCCTCCGAATCGATATAAGCGCCATTGGAAAGAATCGGCCAATCATGAAAACACTTAATTGAGAAATTTGACATTTGACGGTGTGACATCTAACATCATTATGCAGAATAAGAAACGAAAGTGAGGTGGCGTAGTTGTCGAATCACATCATTTGAGAGATCTGTCGCGGTGTTGCCACATCTGTGACAATCCTGACCATCTAGCAAAATGAATTCACTCGAGCCGAGCGAGATTTTAATTCCAGGCGGACATAGAAAAGGACAGCGCGATAGAAAGAGAAGGAGTATCAAGAATGAAACAACGTAGTACCGATCGGCAGAAATACATATGTTCGAGTCACACGCGACGACAGATTCGATGAGACTCTGTAATACACATAACGTACGCGACTATAAAACTTATACGAATAAAAACTACATGGCATTAATAATTTGAGAAAAGGAATGGAAAATAAACAGATGTAAATTGATCTATATATACAATTTATTCATTTAAATATTATCAATATAGGTATATAAATAATAATTAGACGGCCGCCCGTCGCCTGCCGCCCACTGCTCGCTTCTGCCTCTTCTTTCTCCGCGACGTCTGCATCGTCGATTACCATGACAGCCATCCCAGTCATGGCTATGGTATCGAATTTTTTTAATCTGAAATATAATAATGGCTACTGTTGTAGACATAATTTCCATTTCATGAAAAATCTAATTCTGCCACATTTCTTACATAGAAGAATCAACGCTTTTACTTACTTGCGACGTTGACGGCCTCGGATTCTCCTTTCTCTTCCCTTTTATCCGACTTCGTTCCTTAGACCTCTTTCTCCTGTTTCTTCTATCCTCTTTCTTTTCTTCTTCTTCTTCCTCGTCCATCTGTGAAGAAAGCAATTTATGTATAGATAACGTAATATTAATTATGTAAGATTATACTTGCCGATTATACGTGATCAAACAGCATATTCGCAGTCCATTTGTCCTGTTAGGTAATGCTTTCTTGAATATACCTATATATAATTTTTTAATTTATTTCGAGAAGAGGAAAATGCTGTTTTTAATTTCTCAACGACAAAAATGTTCATGCAAAGATGAATGAAGATGAATGAAGATAAATATTGAAAAAAGAAAAAGTTAATGGAAATAGATGATATAGGACATTAATAATTTCATGAAGGGAATAAGAAAAAAATTGTTTCAGCTGAAAAAATAAATTTTGAGTCCAACGCTCGCTTCGCTCCAAAAAACCTCTTCTCGGGAATCCTTTCTTCGAAAATCTGTAACAAATTAAGAAATATAGTATGGCATCGCGTAACTCACGAGATCGTATGATCCGCGAGTACAATTGCTATTTCATGCAATTGTGAACCACCAACAGAGTCAGTGTTACTACACTTTACAGTGCAGTGCGACGCCGGACAGTAACAGTATTTTTTATTACTGTCCGCATAAGACCTTTTTTGACTTTTCAAAGGTCACTATTTTAAAATGTGTATATCGGCGTCGAACAACTCGCGAGATCGTATGATCCGCGAGTACAATTGCTATTTCATGCAATTGTGAACCACCAACAGAGTCAGTGTTACTGCACTTTACAGTGCAGTGCGACGCCGGACAGTAGCAATATTCGTGCTACTTTCTGAGAGAGACCTTTTGCGCTTTTCCAAGCTTGCTCTCTCCTCTGTTATAAATTGAGGCTCCCGAATGGGCATTCCTCTATTGTACCGGCTATCTATTAATTCGGGTAACATGCACAATAAATAAAATTGAATTAATTTTGGCTCCATGTTCTTTTGCCAAAAATTATCGTCTCTATCGACTCTAATGTACTTTAACCCTTTTCGGGTCCAAATACAAATTAAGCAATATTTTCTACCTGTGACATGTAATTGTCCTTGTACTTGGTAGTAATAGTAGTGGTTCCTGTTCAATTCATTTCCTTCTGCGTCTGCAAATATACGCCGAATAACTGCAACACTTTTGATTGCCTCCTCCGGCAATAAATTCTCCGCCGTTTTCGGACATTTGATTTTCACAATGCCCTCTTCGTCTATAAGTCCATCTGGCGAAGCTCCTAAGAACGGGATGGCACTATCAATAAATAATCCACATTCTTTAATTTCAACACCAATGCACACACTTAGTTGTTCACGTGCGAATTTTTCGCATTCCTGTCCATATTGTACTGCAGGTGCACTAATCAGTCGTGGATACACTAACGACTTCACTGAATTTCCACAGAGCGTGCCAATTCGACGACGGCATATTCGTCCGAAATTTGAGGCCGTCAATAATTTAGATTTGTAATTCAACCATCTAGGATTTTTCGCTTGACCGATGGTTTCTTCTTCAATGGTATCTCTTCTATTTTGCCAAATCTGTAACATATCCATATGTTTTTTTTGCTCTAATTCATAAATATTGTTAGCCATATCCGGCTTTTCAGCATTTGGTCCGTAATTGGAATCCTTTTCAGAACGGAATTGTTTCCGCACGTGCTTTGTAATTTTTTTTCCTTTCTCTTTTCACTGTATTTCTCATTTTCTTTCTTCCTTCTATTTTCTATTTTGCGTAAAATAACGGGCGGTTCCTTGTTCATCGCCGTATTCAGACGCGACAACACTTGTTTTGTGTTATATTGTAGGACAGCAGCAGCACATCTTCCCGTGTAAGATCCCCTCTCGCCGAAATTCAATCTTTTTCCTCCTGTATATTTTGCGATGATTCCGTTGAAACTTTCGACGGCATTATTGTTGCTGTTATACAGCAAACTCTCAGCATGCGCCAACAGAGGTCGAAGTATTTCTTTGATTTGTTCGTACACTCCCATCTTCATCAATTCGGGAACAATGTTCTTTTCATCTTTTTTACTCGTTCCATCGCAGAAGTATTGTAGTTTTGAACAATCTGCGTGTTCACCAAAAACATGGCTAGGAACATTGTGTATGTCGGCATACAAATTCTTAATTTTTTCAGCGGTTGTTACTTGCTGACTGTATCTGTACTCTGCGGCTTTTACTATGTCCGCACGCATTCGCCGAATGCTGCTTTCAACGATTCTTCTGAATGGACCAGGTGTTGTCATCTTTACAACTTCTTTCATTTTTCTGCAAAAGTTTCGCAATAAATGATTCGTGCATTCAATTTTTTTTACACGAATCTGTGCTTTATATGGATCTGCATCTATAATTTTTTTATAAACGCTGCTGTCCCCATCAGCAATCAGTGTTGAATAAATCAGCACACGTTTTTCTACGCTGGTCTTGAAGCCTTCGATTATAGCGTCACTTTCCATAGCCGTTGATGCTTGGCTTGCGCTCCAATTTTTAAAACAGGTGTGTTTTCGTGGCTCTTCTTTCTTTTTCGCAGCACATCGACAAATCCTGCACACCTTGTTTCTCACACCAATAAATAAAACTTTCTTCGTGTGATATCCAATTATAACGCCGACTCCAGACGCGGAATTGTACGTTCCAGTCTGGTATGATCGTTTCATCCAGCTTCCATCGGCCACAACGGGGATGTGAGGGATTCCACATCCGGAAACAATATCGCCTCTTTCAATGGCCAAGCGTTTTTCTTCCTCTGCCGCTGTTACCATTTCTTCTTCTGCAGCAACAATTAATGTTTTCACTATTTCATCGTGATGTTTTCTAAATTCTTTCTTCGACATGGAGGGTATGTTCATCGCTGCAAGGAACTCTTCCATTTGGGCATAACTGCCTCCATTCACAATTGTTCCAGCAACGGCACACTGGTTTGTTTCCATGTGATTGCTTTCGTCAGGTTCACTGTGGATTTCACCTGTATATTTGCACATATCGCATATTACACTGAGGGTGGTCCTCAGACCCGACCGTTTCATGCCGGTTATTTTCAGGTGCCTAATTCCACAGTCTTCCCTGTTTTTAGCATGGTCACCTATTTTTTGAAATTCGGCAAAGATGTGCTGCATGTCCACGATACTCAAGCCACTTGGTAGACAGAATTGTTCTTCAGGCTCGTTCGTTACAACTTTCTGTATCATCAATTCCTCATTTTCTGAATTTGTGCCTTCCATATTTATCCCATCTTCAGCATTGTTTGTTTCTTCAATTTCAAACAATTCATTCGTCGTTTCTTCAAAAATTTCTTTACAATTTGCCGTATTCTGAAGGGCTAACCGCCGCCTTCTTTCGCGGCATGCTCTTTTTTTCGAGTATCTTCTCGTATGAACTGTTAATTTTGGCCGCCGACTTGTATTTGCCATCACACATTGCTGTTCGCATTCATTTCTCCTATCTTCAATCACTTCAATCGTGAAAACATTTTCACTATCACTCATTGTCACTATCACACAACAATATTCACCTATCACTTTGATCACTACACACTTTCAAAGCTTTGAAATAAATTCAATGATGTTATCTATTTCTTGCTTCGAAAGCAACTGTCGCGAAAACGTAAAATGCACTACAGAGAAACATAGGGCACCGTGGTGGGGAGTGTTTATGAGGACTACGAAAAATAAACAACAACGACATCAATATTTATTTTAAAAAAAAGTTTTCAACTTGTATTCATTTATAATATTATGATTTTAAATTATTAAAAAAATATATAACATGAAAATAAAAATTCAATCCGTAAAATTAGAAATTAGAAATTAGAAAAGGGTCTATTTTATAAAACAGTGAACACGGTCCTGATCCCCACCAACATTCGAGTGGTTTCAGCGTCAACGACAAAAGACAATCAAAAGACAAGATGTCAGACCAGGAGGTGCGTATAATCGGCCAGTGAAATATTATATCATTAATATTACGTTATTTATATATAAATTACTTTCTTTATAGATGCAGATAGATGAAGAAAAAAAAGAGGAAAGAAAAGAAGAAAAGGAAAAAGAAGAACAAAAGGAAGCAAAACAAGAAGAAAAAAAGGAGAGCAAGAAGGAGAAGGCGTCGACGTCGCAAGTAAGTAAAAACGTTGATTTATCTATGTAATGAATGTGGCAGAATTAGATTTTCGTGAAACGGAAATCATTTCTACAATAGTAGCAAATGAATTTCCACGATTATTTTTGGTTTTTTAATAATGTCACAATCTTACATAATGGAATATATAGTCCGCTACAATTATATTAAAATTCATTATTATATTTCAGATCAAGAAGATGTTAAAAAAAATTTTATACAGCGGCGGCCGCGGCGGCTATCGCGGTGGTCACGGCGGCTATCGCGGTGGCAGGCGCCGAGGGCGACGAGGAGGCCGTCGTGGAGGAGGAGGAGAATACGTTTTTAATTTTTATAAATAAATAAAAAATTTCAAGAAATTACACATCTGTTTATTTTTTATTCCCTTCGTAGCGGATCTCCGGCGAATAATTGCGTCAGACTCGCGGGTGAGAATATTCGCGACGAGACAGACAAAACCGATGTCATTCTGTGCGACAAAACACAGTCCGTCTCGCCATCTTGCTTTCTCACTCGCACTCGCACTCGCACGTATTACGCCGTCCGCGCGATCAGTTGTCACCGGCGAGCATCGGCCGCCGATTATTTGTTTTATATTTATAGGACGCGTTTAGAATTAATGTAAGAGTTACTCAATAATTGTTGCATTCTCACTACCTCCGCTTCACCTTCTTGAAATTAATAATGTCCTGTAGTTCTCATTCCTATAAGTTTTATGGTCGCGTACGTTATGTGTATTATTTTGTAAAATATTGCGAAATAAGCAAGTTTTATAATTCATTCTTCTGGCATATCTTTAATTGCATTGTTAAAAAAACATGATTATAAATATGAATTAAACAGTTTTATGGTTGCACACATTAATATATGTATTGTTTCATTCTCGGACCTCTTTCTCGGCTCGAGCTGATGATTCGATTTGTAACAGATGTGAACAGTACGTTGCGGCAACTATGCCTTACTTGTGGCTATATTCGCGTAGCCGTTGGTGGTGTCAAATTAGAATTTACATTTATCGACTGATTTGTGTTTTTATCGACCCTGATGATAACGTGGTCAAATATACCATCAATGCCTCTGACGGAAAATCATTGAACTATTCTTATGTCTATTTTACGTCTGATGCGTGCAAATCGTAGAATCGATTTTACGTCTTCCAGAAGTGATAAATTGTGAAAAATCGAATTTCAGTGATATTGTGCTAGTTTAAGGAAAGTCGGTCTGGTGTGCTGTCGATGAAAAAACCATTAAATCGTCCAATATTTGCTAAAATGCAGCCGAACGCAGCATTCGGCAGCCATGTTGTTTGCTTACAACAGCGTCTGTCTCAATCTTACAATTTCGAAAATACGGTTTTTCTCAACGAATAGTGTTTATTAGCGTTCAAGCGGACCAGACCGACCTGTACCGAAGTCTACCCGTGTGTGCTGTACTCACGAAAATTTTATTTATGCAATTATCAAGACGAAAAATCGATTCTACGAAATTGAATGTCTCTCTCGCGCATGGCGTATACGTGCATGCTTTCCGTTGATTGTGTGAGTGCACGCATACAGGTCATGGCACAAGGAGTCTGTGCCCTTAAGTATTCGATAAGACGCGTTCTCACGGACATCCCACCTTGTCAATCATCGGCACCTTCTCCACCACCAACGACATTATAAAAGACCTTACCGGACATAAGCAGAGTCAGTCGGAATCATATTATAAAAATAAAGTGCTAAACCTTTAAAAGTGCTATTCATTTAAAAACCTGTGAACTTTCTACGTGACATTGGCTACGGCCAGTGTCAAAGGACGACGACGAGCATATCGGGACAAAGTGAAATAGAATGATTTGCCGAGTCCTAGCGGAAATAGATAGCAAGTAAGAAATTGTATCTTTTTATAGCTGACACTTTAATTGGGAGGTTATGCAAATGCTGTGAAATCATTCTATTTCACTCTGTCCCGATATGTTCGCCGCCAACCTTTGTCTCTGGCCTCAACTAATAAGGAACATGCGTGTGGTAGCTAGAGAGGTGGAATAGAGTGAGAGCATAATAAGTTTTCAGTTATACCTGTATATTGAAAATACATAATAACAGTTCTAGCATAAAATGTATCTATAATGTTATTTAACTTTGTTCTTACAGGCAAACCTGACTGAACCGGGGGAATGGACAATAAGAGTGGCATCGTGGGACATGTGGAATACACAGCACTTCCTGGACCATCCAGAGGTTAGTCTGTAGTACCATAAACGAATATTACTTTTGGTTTTACTATCTTTCTTAGTTGTAGACTGGTATGTTTAACAAATATTCTTCGGCTGTTTGTAGAATACAGACCCCACTCTGACAGTAGAGAAAAAGCTCTACGCTGACTTGCTTAGGCAAAGATAGAGAGCAAGAGTAAGATAATCCTTATTTTTCAGTAGCGACGTACGAGACTCTTCAGATCTGTGGACACCCTACTCATGGTCCGCAACGTGTTAATCAGGTGTTAGTATTGAGACCACATTCAAGTACAAAGAGCTAGCGAGGAGCGGAGCTCCCTGAAACGGCCTGTACTAACATTGCTCTGGCTAGACCAGAAACCGATTGCGACCTGTAGGCTAGAGTCCGCTCGTGTCTGAGGATACCGTACAAGTTACTGATGATAATTTCCAATACTTAGCGTGGTTGGCAATTATTCAGAGTGTTGGCTGTATCCATAGTCTGTCTAAGCCGCGTACTAATACATACTAATACTATATACAGTAAAACCTGGATAAATGCAACCAAGATTGGGACCCAGTGGTTGCATTTATCCAAGCGAGGTGTCGAATCTCGGGTTACACGCGACGACCAGCCAAGCGTGAACGTAGAAAGGGACAGACAGTGGCAGAAAGAGAGAGGTCCGATGATGAAAGGAAAGAGCCGAAACGTATCGGTGTGACTAATACTAATTCAACTATAAAACTTTTTTATTTTTGACTTGTTTTTAATGAAACTTTTACCAGCGGATTGGTGACATTTTTCTTATTAAAATGATACCAAACACGATATAGTTTGAATTATAATTACTTGCTACAATTGATGTTAAAGGTTGGCGAAAAGCAACAGAGATCGAAATCAAAACCAGTCGCGGTGTCGGCTCTGGTTTCAAAGGTTTCATTTATCCGGGCAAGGTGGCGATTCTGGGCATTTAATGTTGCATTTATCGAAGCGAGGTGTCGATTCTGGGCATTTAATGTTGCATTTATCCAAGCGAGGTGTCGATTCTGGGCATTTAATGTTGCATTTATCCAAGCGTGGTGTCGATTCTGAGTCCGTACACATGTTTTGTATTCAGCTGACATGCCGATTCTGTGTCCGTACACATCTTTTGTATTCAGCCGACATCATTTATATTCAGTCGTGGTGTCAATTCTATGTTGTTTATTCTATTACTATTGTTTATAAATATAATTCAAATTATATCATGTTTGGTGTCATTTTAATCAGATAAATCTCACAAATGCGTTAGTAAAAGTTTCGTTAAGAAAAAGTTAAAAATAAAAAAAGTTTATCGTTCAATTAGTATTAGTCACACCGATATTACAGTCGGATCATATTACACGGTTTTCTCGTCGAGCGGCTCGGTTCGTCTAGGGGGATCCCCCTAAGTGGAGGGGATAGCGATGTTGCACTTATCCAAGCATTCTTTCGTTGCATTTATCCAGGTTTTACTGTATTTCCTACTGTATTTTTCATCTAGGGCGTACTCATCGTAATTTCTTATTGTATCTCTTATCTAGCCCGTACACACTGTAATACTAGCATTATTATTTTCTTTTATTTTCTTGAGAAACCATATTTAGTTATCTAGCTAAGATCAATTTCTACTTACTTGAATAAACCAGTAGTTTAGCACATTAATGTTTGGATTTTACTGCTTAACCGCGTACCACACGAACCTATAATCCCTATTACTGAATACGAGTCGCCTTCTGAGGGAACCGCTCTCCCTATACGTCGGTGTAGTGACGTACCTATTCTGGGATGTTACACAACGCAAGACCAATTCGCATAACAACCAACCACAGGAAAAAAAGAATAAAAAACATTAGCCTGACATCGTTTAAAATCTGAATAATTTTTCGCTAAAAAATTATATAAGAATCTTTGCTGAACCACAAAAGGATCATTGTGGCGAAATTGGTTAACGTGCGAGGTCCATTTGAACACTTGATAATTAAAACTTAATTCCGAGGTTTTCACGTTCGTAACCAATTCGACATCTTCTTTTGAAATATATTTTAACTAACTTCTTCTTGACCGACACGGTTGACAATCAATACACGTATCCGGAAACAATGCCACCAAATATTCACGCAAATTGTCAACATAAACACAATCATTAAATTCCAAAAATGCATGTAAATGAAAACTTACTCGAGTAGACGTCGTGCTCTTCTCAATACAAACACAGAACAACAAGTTGTCGAAACGAGAAGATGAGCCATTGCATAATGCAGGTATGAG